GATAAATAAAAAGTAGTAATAACGACAAAGTTATGCATTTGTGTAAACACTTAGCATAACTTCGTTATTTAATTGAAATATATAAAATTTATCATGCCTCATACTCTGGCCTCTTTTCTTTTAACGTAGACCTGTTCTCCATTGTTGTGATTCACTACGTATTGCACCTAACCTTTTTAATTCGTCTGGATTCAAACTAACGACTGTTCGTTACTACGAAAGTGAGTCTACTGGATATTGACTAAACATACCTTCATTTGTTCCACTTCAAATAAGTGGGATACGCCAGCCATTTGTATTTATTTAGACAGGTATTCGGCTTTTGTCTTTCACAAACAGATTTGCCAAACCCAGCATGTATTTTGGTACTTACGAACAACTACAAACATATTGTATAGTTCTACCACATGAAAGTTAGGGATAAGTTATAAAAATATATTTGATACATTTGACAGAAGAGGACACTATGTTGACTGTTTGTAGTTGGTTTTTTATCTTTTAGTTTACGGCCGGAATGAGGTTTCTTGCCTGACAAGAACGTTTTATTTCATTAACCACTAGGTAGTGTCATATTTTTTGACGATTTAGTCACCTAATGTCTCTCAGCTTATTTGTCTACGACCGTTCACCTACTGCTGACTGAATAAACTAATAAAATTATAATCATACAATCCATGGTTTTAGTTGATTTTCGGCCGTGAAGAACAATGCATAATCGATTTCCAGACAACATGATACCTTCGTAGCGGTAAATAAATCCCCAAAATAAATAGCTCTGTAAGTTTTCAACATTGGATGCTGACCATACGTTTTAGTGGACTCATCTAGCTGAAGGCGCTCGGTCATGCATCCTCACCAGATCACGTGTGGTAACGCTGTGCTCAACATCTATCGCAATCGCTAGCCAGATTAGATCAGAGAATTCCGATACATCGGTTATCGCCAAATACACTCTTCCGATCTCCTCGACTCAGTCTTTTGATTTCTCTTGGTGGGTACGAAATATATTAGGTGTTACTAGTAAAAGCGTTGTCAAACACTGAATACCTGTGCCATCTTCACCTTTGAATAGCTGTTGCTTTTGAAAATCTGTTGTTTTAACAGATGATTGAAACATGAACTTTCAACAAAATTGGATTGTTTGTGCTATCTTTGGTGACGTGACCTTGATTTCAAATCTTGTCAGCGTTGCTTAACACCTTTGAAGATTTGTAATCAAATATGAACAGGCATATGATTTCATTCACCTTTCACATCTTATCTAAGTTGATGTTTATCCAAAATAATAGAAATCTGATGGTTACTGCTTAAAGATGACGCAAGTATTTTGGATCTGTTTTTAATTTTCAGTCAGTCAACTACAACATAGGACCAGGCACACATATACATAGATGCTACTAAAATCATTATCCTACTACTGTAGTGTCTCCGAATTTCAAGTGGTGCTGTTAAATTGTAGAAATGTAACTCTGCTATAACAATCAAATTGATATTCATTTTTCAAGAAAACCGCTAATACTTGGTTTCTTTCATCTCATTTGAATAGTAGTCAAGATATTATTAGGCATCAAATTTTCAAATATACTTAACAGCATTTGGAGTAGTTCATTATCTATTATATGTGCCACTAAAGAAGCGTGAATACTGTCGATTACCTTCATCTCTACGACTGAAATCCTAAATACAAGAACTTTTAGAATATTTTTACAGTTTTAACAAGTACTTTCTTTCGAACCATCTAGTGTGGTATTCCAACGTATTTGAAATCGTCAATCACTGATGCTCAAGATAACTACTGGTTGGTGATGTTTCGTACGTAACTGGATGCACCGTACCACGTTTAGCATTTTGCAGACGAAAATGAGTTCATTTTGTATAAATAAAGAATATGTCTTGTTGCTAACACATTAACCCTGAACATAATTCAAACATGGCTACATCCGATTTAGGAATGATTGACTAGTTGACTACAAGGTGGGTAGCTCCCAAACCTTGGAAATTAAATTTCTGTATTTTCTACCATTCTTTCGACAAGCAATACATAAAAACTTTATAAGTAGCTTTAAGCGTTTTGAAACAACAGTTTTGGTAAACTTTAAAGCACCACTTTTCTTCATACCTGGTGGATTGATAAATAGAAATCTCTAACGAACAGTGAATCTGGATTCTTAGCTCTACTTTCAAAGAAATATGAATATTATTTAAATCCGGAAGTCATAATCAAATAACTGGGAAACAAAAAACTTTAAACCGAAATGGCTAAGTTTCATTAGCATATTTAGAACCCACCAAATATTTTTCTGCATAAAATTATTGATAATAATTCATTTAATAACAAACCTTATTCCACTAAGACAAGAAGCAACAAGTCAGGATTTCGAACTTACATCAATAATGTTTCCCAAAGAATCACTTGTCAACAGACTCTAGTCTGCTGTTCAAAAAGTGATTTTAAGACCTTAACTATTTTCTCCTGAGTAGTTGCTACGTTTAACTCTTATTCATTCGGTAAAAACGAGAAATCTTTTTTAGGTTTGTTATACGTTTTGTTCAGATCACGTTCATTACTTTGTTATTTGTGGGTGAAGAAGTGGGGAACTTAACTAGGTTCTAGCAACTGGAACTGAAAGAAAGTTAAAAGTGCATGAATTAAGATTGTTACATATTGCTGAAGTATAACTACTGAATGGAATAACGCCAAATACAGTAAACTCACTAACAGAAACGGATAAGCCAGAAAAATTTTAACACACAGTCACTTGAATTTTGATAACATAAATTTAACTATATTTGTTCAGATGCTTTATAAATCGCTCTGACATCATACAGTCCATAGTGTTGTAGGTCACCAACGTAGACGATCTATGTCGAATGTTTGGGTATCTACCCGAGTCACACCTCACGGTTATTACCTAACGTGGACCACCTTTTTGTCGTATTCAGGTACTATGAATGCTTTGATAACCGTACAAAAAAATGATGTTATTACAGAAATATTTTAGTAAGATTTGGTACAGGGAACATAGTGTGACCACTGATGCACAAACCAGTCCATAGCGTGCAATTAACTGATGCGTGTTGGTTTTCTTTGACCTTGATGAGGACTGGTGAACTGTTCGACATTCAGTGGCCCGGCTGACGGATGATTTGTTTAAGACCTGTGATATCTCACTGGCCCTACAATGTCGTTTGAAAACCTAAAAGATGTATGGTTAGATCAACATTAGTTCGTATTAACAATCTTTGCTACACCACATCCACACATTTTCATATTGCCTGAAGTATCCCGATAATAAACATTATAGTAATGAAATAATACCAAACTATCGTCATCTAAACCATTTTACTGAAATCTTTGATTCATACTTACACCATAACTATGTCACATTTTTAGACTTTGTAGAAACTGAAGATAATCCACTCTGCCCATTAGTAATCGGCAGTTAGGAGTAAGACTTTCAGTAACGGTTATCTAATCTACACTGGTTCTTTTTCATCCACATGGTTAGTCATGGAAATATATCCGACTGTATTCTATTCCACTTTGTATAGCAATAGGTTGCACTGTTTTATCTGAGTACGTGTATGGCTCTATGGTTTATTTACATAATGTGCTACATTAAACAAGTTTTTGAAGTATTCAGATAATAAGAAAAATAACGAAGGCACCAACATGTGTGAACATGATTTACTTGAAATGGTTACTTTCTAGAGATTGTTTTTGAGGTATACTCGACTTTCTTACTGTTCTGTACGAACACATCATTGGTGCTAATGACAATCTGAGTACTGCCTAAACTTTATTTGACTCTTTAGAATTGGATTGTGTGTTACCCAGCTTACAGGCTCAAGAATAAGAAATACATATACTATGCAAGGAGCGTTTGCCATTGGAAAATACTGTAGGACATATAAACCAGGTTTTTCCTTATTTAAGAATATCGTACTCTGTGAATTAACTATAACAAAATTGAAGCTATAGCCGACTTCCAAGACTATATTTTAAAGTTTTGGTTTGCATCAGAATAACAAACACAGTTTAATCAATTTTCGTGACTACGAGCATGGGTTATCTTCTGTAAAAGTTATTCTAGACCAAACTAGGGGTGTGAAATTTGAAAATGTATAAAACTTAGTTAACCACATTCGTTTGCGATAGTAGGTTACAACTTCCGAAGTAGTAAAAAACTGATTAAGCAACTTAGGAAATATCTTCTATGACATTAATTAGTGTTCTTCGTCGCATTTAAAAGTAGATTGTTTTGAGTGATGGTAATTATCCAACAGACTCCTTTATTTTAGATTTCCAGGAGTAAAAATTGCAAAGTAATGATTATCATAAATGCGAAAATGAATCAAAATAAAATATTATGGAACGGATCTGAGACAAATGAATCGCTGAATCTTATGATTGCTCTTATGTTTTTTTAAAGTAGTGGATAGCCTTTATATTGTTATTCTTTGGTTTGTTTAGAACAGTATTCCCAATCACAGTCTTCAAAGAATAGTGATTCAATTTATTGCATGCACATTTGCTTTCTTTTGAACATAATCTACAAACAGAATTAAAGTTACCCTTCAAAGACAATTAAGAATATAAATCAACTTGAAACTTACTGTACATTAAAATGACGATTTGACTTGCATTTTGTATTCTATTTCATTTGTTGAAATAAATTTAGGTTGTAGAAAATGCGATATATTTTACTTAATCAATAAATTTCTTGTTGTTATTGAGTCAGTAATAAATAACTTAGTGATAAACTAGATTATGTGATTGAATTCGTATGCAGACACATGCCATTTTACCAGAATTTGTTACTAAATGTATACATCATGGTCAATAAACTAAATAAACGAACACCTTATAACGAAATTAGTATCTCATGACATTCATTTGTACATTTTAATACGGATACTACATGAAGCATTAATAATCTTTTCTGAAAACCATTTAATAACTCGATAAAAGTCAGTAAAATAAATTCAGAAACAACAGATGAATAAGTAATATTTATTTACTATCAAAGTAAAATAATTATTTAGGGAAATGATGTAACAATAATATATGAATATGTCACACATAACTGGAATTTCGTAATAAAGAAGCACTTTTGTCACTCTTTCAAAACACCTAATCGCCATTGAATAGTAATTTTAGGCGATACATATAATACCAAATCTGCATTGTGTTTGCCTCAAAATAATTTCTTGGAATTAATATCCTTGGAGACGCACAGCTGATGGATAATATGTTCTTTCAGGTATACACCCAACTTGATTCAAATGAATAGTTTCTGTTTTTAATTCGATTTCTTTTTCAAGTGCCATTTGTGTATCATGTAAATCTTTAAGCTTGTTCTCCACTGTTGAATATTGGTGTAGTAATTCATCTAAAGATTGACCTAATACATTAACTTCTTCAACTAAGCTACAAAAAGGTAGTCGGAAAGGTAAAGAATAGAGAAAAATTAGTAAACGAAGTTCAAAAGTCATTTTATCCGAAAAATATTCCTTTAATTTCATTTAGTTGAGACATTACAATGATACTTAAACGTAATTACACATTTACACGTCGTTTTTCCAGTTTATTTCAATAATTTTCTTTTTTTAATGATGGATTTCATGAGACAGATAGTTTAATCACTAAATTTTCATAATCTTTCTTGTAATAAAAGTGAGAATTTTAAAATGGTTATATTTTTGTCGAACCACTCCGATCTAGAGAACACATTCTTAATTAATTGTCCTGAAAGGTTTGCCTATTTTATCGAGTTAATCTCTAACCAAGGGACTGGCTAACTTGGCCACATGAGTTGTCTCCCTGTATTTAAGTCGACTTTTCTGTTGAATGTAGAGTGATCTGAATACCATGCTATTATAAATGTTTCAGAGCTTGTGGAATATGATTAAAACGGATTTTAAACATTCAAGTCTTTATTCGATGATAAATCATCTAGTTTAACAAAAAATCAACGTTTCGTATATGTAACTGAAGAGTATGCTTAGTTGCTCCATTGTACTTCCTACTGAAGTTGTCTAGATTTATTATACGGAACCCTTCACATTTGTTTAAGTTGTTATTACATCGTTCAGTTTTCTTAAAACGGAACAAAGCAAAGTTTCATAAAAATTATTATCTATAACTGTTTTGAAGCTCTTCTCATGATCTACTAAACATTTAAAACACATTGTAACGTTTCCAAGGGTGATTAAATGAATTTACAGTACCTACAAGACTGAAATCCAGATCTCCCAACAGTCGGCGGCATTACCAATAAGCTATACGAATAGCATGTAAAACTTTTGTTGTTGATCGTGTTTTGTTAATTGTCAGGCAGAAAACCTAGTTAAAATTGTTCATATAAATTTCTGCAACTGTCAAACATGGTGTGTTTTAGTGTGAATTCACTTGGACTAGTAACCACATTCCAACTTGTTAAGTATATTTGACCAGTAGTTATTAGTTACAAATAAAATCATATCTGCATATAAATGTTTATCAACGTCAATATAGTCTCCTGTCAGTTTTCATACTATAAAAGAAGGATGAACAATGACTTTAGGTCAGTCAGCAGTTGCCAACGGTTTCGGAGTCATATACCAGTCAGTCAGTAACAACGTAGAACTTCGTATGTACGTACATCAGTTCGAGTTGCCATACCACATTAGCACAGAGATGCAGTGGTCGATTCAAATCCCGTAGTGGTAGAGGTAGTAAGAGTATAAGCAGTAATCGGAAACATTAGGGTTTGAAGATGTTATTTAAGGAGTATAATACAGTGAAATAAATTTGGAAAGAGGAAAAAAGGGACATGAAGAATTCAGAAGATTAGAATTTGGGAGAACACAAAGAGTGGATGCACCTGCGCCATTGCAAACGATTTTGAGCCATGTCATTCAGGGTCTCTAACCATCGGTTGCTATCATCTCGCGGTCCCCAACCAGGTAGTCTACACCTACCAACACGGTTCAGTTCACTTGTCAGTGACTTCATGGACTTGTGCCATGTTTTGGTCTGGCCGCCCCTAGCTTTCTTCCAACCTACTCCTATACCACTGAACATCGCACGTCGAGGCAGTCGGTCGTTGGGCATACGTAACACGTGTCCCAGCCATCTCAACTGATGAAGTTTCACTACTTCATCAATTGATTTGCCATCCTTACCTAGTACCCGTTTCCTAACAACTGTGTTACTTACTCGATGGTCCCATGATATACGAGCAATGTTTCGAAGACACCTATGATCAAATACTAGTAACCTACGGATATCCTCTACTCTTACCGGCCATGTTTCACTGCCATAAAGTAGGACGGAACGAACTGCTGCGCAGTAAACCCGTCCTTTGGTTGATAGACGGATATCTCGCCTACGCCATAAATGACGCAAGTTGGCAAAAGCTAGTCGAGCCTTCTGTATCCGTGCTGAGATTTCGTCACACACCAGACCACAAGGGCTGATGAGACTTCCAAGATAAGTGAAGCGGTCGACACACTCAACTACTTCACTCCCTATCACTAGTTCGGGTGTCGATGTAACCCAATCCTGAAGCAACATTTTGCATTTCGAGGGAGAGAATCGCATCCCGAACATGCTTGCATTGTTGCTTAGAGTGGTCAGAAGACTCTGCATTTTGTCAGCGTCTTCACCAAATAAAACTATGTCATCAGCATATTCTAAGTCAACAAGTGAACCTCCCGGTAGAAGTTCAACCCCTGGAAATTTAGATGAGGAGAGTGTTATCTCTAAAAGTACGTCAACGACAAAGTTGAACAAGAATGGAGAGTGGACAGCCCTGACGAACACCACTTGAGGTAATCAATTCTGATGACAGTTCGCCATAAGCTCTCACTAGACCAGTTGTGTTCGAGTAGAGAGCCTTTATAAGGTTAATGTACTTCTTTGGTACTCCTTTCAGTGACAAACACTGCCATAGAACCTCACGATCAACAGAGTCGAATGCCGCCTTAAGGTCGAGAAATACTACCATTGTGGGGCGTCTGAATGTGTGTCTGTGTTCTAGAACCTGACGTAGTGTGAATATCTGATCTATACAACCACGTCCAGGTCGAAAACCAGCCTGGTTTTCTCTAGTCTGCTCTTCACGAGCTTTAGTTAGGCGTCGAAGTATTATTGAAGCTAATATTTTAGACACTATATTAGTCAAACTGATTCCTCTGTGATTGTCACAAGAGGACTTTTGTCCTTTCTTATAGACTGGCACAATCAGTGATTGAGACCAGTCAGATGGGATTACGTCCAGTTCCCAAATTCTACCTAAGACCTCAGTTAATCTCATTGCTAATACTGGACCACCATCCTTAAAAATCTCAGGAGTAAACCTGTCAGGGCCTGCTGCTCTCCCTCGTTTCAGATTTCCTATGGCTTTTTCAACTTCGTAAAGAGCGGAGGACCTACATTAACTTGCCATTCAGGTTGACTGGAGATCGTGGGAAACCGAAGTGTGGCTGAAGGCCAGTTGAACTGATCCCTAAAGTGTTCTGCCCATCGATCCAATCTCCTGGATTGAGAATATATAATATGTCCATCTTTCTCTGAGATTGTTTCGCTAACGGTCGGGTTCCTAATTCCGGTTTCCTTAACGAGTCTGAACAATTGTCTGCTATTACCTATTGCCGCTGCCTTTTCCATCTCTCTTGCTTTCGCTACCCACCACTGTTCATGATCATTGCGTAGACTTTTTGTCAGCTTGCTTAAGCTGACTCCGCTCTTCATTATGTTCAAAGCCAAATAGGATGGGTTTTCGAGCATCTATCAGTGCGATAGATGCTGCTGAGATCCAGTGTTGCTCCCTAACCTTCTGGTTTACCGTACTAGCAGATATCACTGCTGTTTCCACAGCTTTTCGGATATCATTCCATGCTGCCCCGGGGTGGGTATCACCTACATGGCTGCCTAACTGTTTTCCTAGTTGTTCCTGAAATATACTCTTAGCTTGACTACCATTAGGTAGGACCCTAAGAGTTTCCCTTGCGGCGTCTTTCCTACGTTCAGTAAGACGCAGACAGATACGCGCTCGCACTAGAGCATGATCTGAATCCAAGCATGTGCTCTAGAATGAGCGACAGTCTTCTATCGAGCCCCTCCATCGGTGGCTGATAGCGACGTGATCTATTTGAGTCCAACTTTGGGACGAATTAGGGGGTCGCTATGATAAAAGATATTTTTGCTTATGCTTAAAGTTAGTATTTGCAAGAAGCAGGCGGTTATCTGAGCATAGCTGCAACAGACGGTAGCTATTATCTGTTCTTTGAGCCACGACACCATAAGATCCACCTAGGTGTCTTTCCCTTTCGCTTAGTTTACCTACTTGAGAATTAAAGTCACCTGCCACTATTCCTACATCAGAGCGCCTAGCTTTTCGGAGAAGGTCGGAGAGCTTTCTGTAAAATTCGTCATTTACATTATATAAGCTGCAGTCAGTGGGGGAGTAGGGAGAGGTGACGATGAGTGTCCCTATCTTTCCGAGTCTTTACTGTTTCGTTTAGTCGGACAGCGCACAAACGACTGTCTACTGGGGTTCATTCTAAGAGAGCTCATATGATCACATTGTAAAATCATTTTTGGACTTTAGATGGTCAACAGTTATCTGATCAAATTTGGAATATAGGATTCAAGGAGTAAGCCTTTATTTTAAATGTAAAGCAGATCTGCTAGTAAAGGCAGTTTCACTGCTAATAGTTTCAAAATAGAGATACATACAGTGAACTTTATTATAATAGAAACAATGGTTTATATGTATGTGTAAGTCTTTAAATATAATCAAGTAATCAAATTCTTAAAATAGAAGAGTGAAACTGTTATTCCAAACATCAAGGTTCTTCAAACCGTCTGTAACACTAGCCAGAATTGCGCGCTGTCGTAATCGGTGTTCGTAACACGTGGCCCAGTCGATGAAGATTCACATTCTTATCAACTGATTTGCCATAATTCCCTAATACCCTGCGTCTAACCTCACTATTACTTACCCGATGATCCCAGTAGATGCGAGTAGTATTTCTAAGACATCTGTGATCAAATACTGGTAGCTTACGAATGTCTTCTACTCTTAGTGGCCACGTTTTGCAGCCGTAAAGTAGAATAGAATGAACTGCTGCACAATAATATATTAGAGGAATAATCAATGCAATTTGTTCTTAGTCAACGAAGTTAAAAAAGTAATTTTGAATGCATGTAAGAACAAATTATTATATTCTAAAAATTTCACTATTCTTTTGAAACTTTTGATCAGAATAATAGGTTGTTTTAATCTAGACATACCTTACAGATGCTGGATCCTTGCATAGTTCCATATTAGGTCTAAATGTACGTAGATGCAATCTTGTTTGTGCATTCATCAAAGGATCATCTTTAGCTCGGATAGCCTCTTTTAATTCATTCAAATTATGCTCCAACATTGAAATTTTATGTAATACCTACCAAAATTAGTACATAATATTTTGGAAGAAATAAAGTTACTGATGAATATACAGTCATTCATTCAAAAGGAAGGTTTCTTTTTAAATAATACTCGTAAATGTATGGACCATCTGTAAATATCTAAGTTTATATTGGATGACTTTTGTATCAAATGAGTTTTGGAATGTAATGAATAGTTACTAAAATAAACCTGAACATCATCCAATATATGTGGATTTTGTACATGCTCATGTCGATCGTTCATGGACACAAGTTCAGTTCGGTGATAATTTTACTAACACGGTGAAATAAACTAAGGAACTGTTAAGAACCAATACTTAGTGAAGAATGCTTAGGTTATATATTCAAAATCCAATCATTGAAGTTTGGATTGTGTTGCAAGGCCAAAATGCTTTGATCACTGAATCAGAATCAAACGGTTCATATTTCCATCATTAATCGACTTGCGAAATAGTCTAACGATTATCTAACACCACCAAAGATGACTGTTACACTCCTGATATGGCTGACCTTTAAAAATGAGTGTTTCAAACTCAATTCTGTTTAGGAATTATTCGGTTACTAATCCATGGATTTCAAGTAAATTCTAATGGTTCTGATAAGCAATTGTGACGAATGGCTCCAAATTATATGGATATTTAGACAATAATAACAAATGCCATTGGACAATAGTCATGTTAGACCACCAATTAACAGAAAGTATTTGGAAATACGAGCCACTGGATTCCAACTGATTAAATTTTGAGGCAAGCAAGAAACGCTGTTACTAAAGGTCCTTAGCGTCATATGAGTGCACTGTTAAGAAACTTCCAGCTATAATGTGAGAATTGTCTACTGCGTTTTGAATTTTAATAGTCCTTTAGTTTATGTTGTTATGTGATGTAAACTATCCCTAAACTTGATTGCTTGGTTAATAAAGACTAGGAACCAGAAATGTTATTCTTATGATAAGTTGAGTGTTACACATTGGAGATGATACATTGCTCCAAGTGGGTCTTGTTAAATAAAGTGGATGGACAAAATTTCAAAATATAGGTCATATTATTAGATGAACACCAGACATTTTGTTTCAATGCACTGCTGTTTTCCTAACAATGTTAGCAATAGAAAATTTATAAATCCATAATTCAAACAGTCAACGATTCGACTCCTGCTTAATAAAATTCTGTACTTGTATTGTGAGTATAGATCAATCCAGCAAATGACTAGCTTTTTTTCATTACAATAAACGAACAACGAAGCGGATACACTGATTCGCACCTTTGGACAATCAAATTTAATTAGCAAGAAACCTAATTTCGATTGAATAATAAAGTAACTCTTTTGAGCTAATAAAACCGTTGACTGACAATAAATACAGTGCAACATTTCCGTCAACGTATCAGTTACAATACTCATTTAACTTAGATGTGACATCATAATCAAGAAAAAATTACTGCGAAATATTAAAGATATAGGTAATCAGTGAAAACTGATCATGATTAGCATTTTAGAAAAGAGACCTACATTTTTCAAGTTTTCTTCCAAAGTTGCTTTAGCTGCCATTAGTTGATTTAAGTTATCTTGGAAAGCAGCATTAACACGATCAAACTGCTGTCTCATGTCACGTGACGTATCAACAATTAAATTAGATATCAAGGAACGCAAATCAATACTGGCTAGACGTTCTGCTTCTGCACGTGTAATCACTTCATTTGCATCCTTTGCCCAACTTTCAACAGTCGACATATTTTCCTGAAATAACGGAATATGTGACTCTAGAGGAATCATTTGGTAACCTCTGCAATTAATCTAAATATTTATACGCTGATGAAATAGATTTACAGAAGTTCATTCATGTACATGTCTCCGCAAAGTTATTTTTAACTTACCTGATATAATGCAACTCCAGCATAAAACTGTTTATTTGTTGAACAATTTTTTAAATTTCCCGCCTTAGAATCAATTTCTTCAGCTTCTTTCTTATCACTCCAATTGAGTTCTAATGCTTCTTTGACTGTACGATTCTGACTAGAAGCATGTGCATGAAAATGAAATTACAAAAACCCTCATTAACTTAGAGTTTTGTACAGAACTATCCAAGCTATTCATAATTATGTAATAACCAGTCAATTTTCTTTCTGAAAATGTAAATCAGTTGAGTTGTTACATGAATTCAAGACAAACTTAAGTTAACATATATTAATTTGTATTGAATGAATTATATGACAACAACTTAGAGTTCTTTTAGGTAACTGAATTTTAAGATGTATCTGTTTTGCACATTACTTAACTAACAGTTTCCCAACCAACACATTTTTAATATGTTTACTTCACTGTTACTGCTCATAGTTTATTTTACAAGAATAACTCACTAATACTAAGGCTTTTAAATCAACAAATTTATCATTGGCAAGTCTTCAGCATAGATACTAGGTGGAAATTTCAAACAAAATTCACATTAAGAACAAAAATATGCTTAAATCGAATTCTTGATAACTGAACCAAAAATTCCCACCTCGCGAAATTTATTTTTCGATTGATTTAGAACACAAATGGGTCAAAATTTCAGGGATAATTATGCCCAATTATTTAAATAACGTGGTAATGTTTTACTTATATGCATTTGTGTTGCTTCACTTTTTATGTCTATAAACTGGATTACTTAATAGAGTGAGTTTAGAAGAATGGTTTCAGCTTATCACGAAATTGATTACTATTCACCTCATGATAGGATAGATAAACGGCCGGATTATCTTTACAATCCTTTATTATCAGATGGAAAGCGATGCAACTACATTAAAATGTATGTATATGACGCAGTTTGTAAATATTCTACAATACTTCATTTTGCGTAAGTATTATGCAATTAAAAATTCCTGAAGTCCAAAACTATTTGGAAGGATTAAGAATGGAGATAACTATGTAATCATTATTGTAAAAAATTCATCTGGTATTCTGTTTAAATTTTCAAAAAAGTAACTAGTTGGAATATCTGACGATTTATTTCGAAAATTCCTTAGATCTAACGGCAAATATAACAACAAGACAAGTAAATAACTTTTCAAAATATAAAACTTAACAGGCATTCACAGTTGTTACTAATATTATTAATTCAAACACACCATGAATTTAAGGATTTCGGCGAAGCACAGTGTCTCCATTTTCATACAACTTTAGTAAGACATTTTGGCTATGAATAGTTAGTTTAGGAGTTTCACACTCGTCTAAGTTTAAATAAATTGTTTGATAAGCTTCTTGCTTGTTTGTATTTTGTGTAAATTGTTGGCAAGAGATTCGAGACAGGATCCTTAGACTTTGTCGTATCAAGAAGTTTGGAGAAAATTGGTAATCAACGTAAGTAAAACGACAGACAAACGATAGTTTAGTTGACTATCAGAATTTGAAACCACAGTGTGGACAAAAAAAGTGCTATTAGATCTGTGTTTCGGATCGATACCTCATCAAATTGTAAGATCTAATTCTAATCTGATTAAATCCATCACTTGATAGTCAGCCGGTCTGTAGTCTGAAGTTGATGCACTAAGTTTTGTAATTTTGTGTTTCAGCAGGAAGCAACATACATGGTCGAAAATTATCGCTGCGATTCAATTTGTGTCATTAGATATTTAAGATAATTCAAATAAAAAGAAACGATGTAACTTTCACTCGACCCAAAATGAAATCTCTTACAATTAAAACTTAGATGCGTAATTTTTACGACATCGGGCTTACCAAATCTGTTTATCAGCTTGTTCAACAGCATTTTTAATCAATTTTTGGATGTTTTGTATGAGTTCCACTTCCTTCAAGGCATCCCATAGTTTTGTTACGCCAAACAGTTTATAGAAGAGACGGAAACATTCAGCCACGGCATCGTCGTTCAACAAAAAACACAAAACAGTTCAACAAGGCTATACGGAACAATAAAAATTACCTACATCTGATAGATAATATAACTTAAATGAGACGTTAAAAGCCACAAAATAAATTATTAGGGAAATAGTAATTCATCGAACGGAACTAAACGGCACGGGCTTGAGTTATATATGAACTATCACCAGTTACCCAAGGCATCCCGAATACATCCGATGGATTACGTGAAATAACGGAATTGAACAAATTGAACAGTAACTCTGTACCAAGTATGCGTAACTGTGAAAAACTGGATGTGTAGTAGCGATGGACTCTTATTAGACCTCATATATGATTTAAACGTTATACTCTACAACTCCAAATAATATATATAAAGACATCTCCTATTACAATTTCATGACTACAAAACGTCTGAGTATTTTTCAAAACCTTAGTTAGCCTAAATCTTGTACTGTGTAATAAATGAACAAGTAATGTTTAAAAGTTCGGTTTTCATATCCTACAACTTTAGATGGTACATTTTGCTTTAAAGTTGATCTCGTAAAGACTAATCAATAAAATGCCAGCACCCACGAACGGACGTTATTTTTAAATAGAGTAGCGACTATTCAAAAAGAAGTGAACAGCTGGAAGCCTTTCACAAATAAACAAATGGTTCCAAAGATTAGTCAAAAATAGTGCAAAAGTCAAGATTTGGAGTTTGTGTATGTGACTATCCACAAAAATACGGGTGAAAACTGTTTTAAGTGATTTTGCTAGATGCACAATTCACTACAAGGGAAGATAAGGGTATCAACCCTGGTCCCTTTCAAAAGAGCCTCTACTTACTTTCGAGTCAATATCACTGAATGATTCTGTTAAACACGTTTTTCTAGGCACATTCCACCAAAAAGTCATGCATTATTCATGTTTTCTGAAGAACCGACGAAGAAATATGCAAGGCTGCGCACAGAGAAGTCATGTAACATGCCAATTTTAGAAAGCATTGTTCATTATCTCTGCATGAAAAATTTTAAATCATTATCTATGTAATACAACTTCAAGTTTTTGAAAAGAACTCTTTTGAGTGTTACAAGACACTTAAAAAGATGTTTACGTTTGTCGGGTGGTATTTTGCACGAATGGATAAGTAATTTACAATTTCTACAAGAAATGTGGAGGAACTTACAATATATAACTCCGATTCAACAGGGTCAGCAACTTTATCTATCCCTCTCCTACGTTCTCGTGTATTCAGGTTCTCAGTTGCTATTTGCAGCGGAAGATCCGTTTCCAAGAGAACGTTCTGCAGCCTATCTTTTTCTTTGATCAAAAATGAGGTTTCCTGGATGATGTCATTTATTTCTCTTTCTAGTTCCTGCTTCCAAAAAATGGTATCATGAAGTCTTTCTTTCAGTCGCTTCGTCGAATCAGCCTGCAGCCTCCTCGTTATGGCATCAGTGCTTTTGATGATCTGAACATAAATTAAAAATTATAAAAGAGTAATTTACCGATTTAGTTAAGTCATTCACATGTTCTGTTTGTTCGCAGTCACTAGTTGCTCGAATATACTTTTCGTTTTGATATGACATCCATTCCTGTGGTGTGCATTTCAACGACCTGAATCCAATGGTTGACGTGTTACTGTATATTTTTCCTGTTTGTTGGGGTAAATTATTTTGAACCACTACATCCCCCATCTTCACACTTTAAAAAAGGTCTCTTCGCTCTACTATGACAACAGTCGTCCAGTGTGTACTGATAGAATTAAACAAAAATACAATATTCCAGAATAAGATTCCAAACACGAGATATCGTTGAGGCATTTTGAATAAATTCGTGTCTTTTAGTTTTGTAGGAGAAAAAATTCAACAAGTCATTGATATTAATGTTAACTTCATTAGTTTTATTGAACTACTGAAGTCAGTATCACCATCAAAGACTTACAGAACTTAATTTCGTGATGTTCAGAGGTCTTAAATTTCTTTACTCCTATGTTGATGACTTCCTAATCGCAAGTTTGGACAAAGAACCCCATCTAGAACTTGTTTTCTTGTAGATTAAATGACATTGCTGTAAACAGTCAGAAATAACCTAACCTACACCCTCGACTTTCTCGACCATACCGTTGACATCCAAAATATTCGCCTCCTAAAAGTAAATTGTTGAGCGCTCTGTATTATCCAGTGCCGACGACAAACAAGCGACTGCGCAGATTCAGCGAACTGGTATGTTTCTATCAAAGCCTAAAACAACGTTCTTCAGATTAATTTTGAGATTTCTAAGATGCTCGAATGACTGCTGTGTAGGACTATCATGGTAACGGCTCTCAAACAGACAACTCTTAAAACCGGAAATACGATGGACGACACTGACATTCAACATATAAGACTTAAAGAAGGCAGGGAACGATGGTCGTGGGAACATCTAATCAGTACTGTATGGCTTGGACGTATAAGCGTGATCACTCTGTATATCTCGCTCATTATTCTTTCTCCATTCCACCCCAGCCCAAACGTGTTCTTCAGAAGTCCAGAACAGCATATTCCCAACTGTCAGAATGAGACAAGTCATTAAATAGAATAACGTGACTTTCATGTGTAGTCTTATAAAAATTCGGTCACATGGTGGCAAACCGACAATTTTGAGATTGTCTATCAATTTAATAACAAAGATAAGCGCACGAAATACCTATTACGACATCAATACTACACGAACTTATTTCTTTTTATCTCACTTTCCATGTCCTTATGATAACTGTTAGTATCTTCAACTTTCACCGTGCATCCCGTGACTTCCTGAAGCATAAAAGCGACGACCGTATGATGCTGGACGTACCATGGTATCAGAATTGTGTTTACTAAGGTTACGTCCCTTGAATCTAAGCTTCTGTTTGGCTATTTTCAAAAGTCACCACCACTTCACTAGGAAGGGAGTGAGCTGTAACGTTAAAGAGACATCCAAAACAAACAATTCTATAGTTCTTCGTATTTGACGCTAAACTCATTCATTCTACTGGATACACCTTAGTCCAAGGCGTTCGGCTATCAATCTGCTCCAGATCACGATCAAGTACGCCATGCTAAACATCTCTAACAACAATCAGTCAGTTTGAGACATATACTGATCGTTATATCGACTGTCTTCCAAATATGTCAATGAACTCCTCTTTTCTGAATTTTCTCTTTGATTTTGATGTTTCCCGACGACAACAGTGAATGGTAACCGTTGGAATCCATTTATAGATTGTTCTTATACATATATTCTTATTGTTAATTAACTAGACTATGCATACTTGTGTTCCACGTATTATAAGCTTTATTTTGACAGGTTGACTATAATTATACGGTTTACCGTTCTTCAGTTATAGCCAGTCTATTGACTGCCGTCCCCCAAATCCACAGCCACTTTTGGATAAATCTTTTACGAATGCTATTTTCTATTTTATGGTTGATGTGGATACTCACTTTCGATAAATCAGAATTTCTTTTTTAAAATACCAACGACATCACTATGAGTGGCTTTTCCGCAACATTCTTAATTAGCAAAACCACAACTTCTTACCGATATCTGCTGGTTTTGTCTCGTGTTTCTATCATTGGAGAAGTGTATAAGGTTGGCGTCAGTGTATGAAGTTGGCAAATCACACCCTATGAAGATATATGTACTACTTCGTAAAGATTGTATTGTCAAACATGCTGGTTGATCGGGTGCTAGTTATATTTGGACTCTGGAAATACTTTTTATGTATCAGAACGCTGATATAGAAATTTTTACAAGGACAAAAAATATTTGATGTCTGTCAAAGCATAACTGTTGTACAATATATGATTGTGATAATCAGAAGTAATCAGATCAATGCACTGACTAAGAACTGCCGGAATATTTGACTGACAACAGACAAGAGTAGATGAGCACAATTAAAAGTAATATATTTGAAATACAAATAGACCGCGGAGTCAAGTCAAAAGAAACCATACGAAGTCTAGGTACCCCTTATTTCAAAATTCGAGCATCCGAATTCAGCCGTACGTGTACTTTGAATGGTAGAGTTAAACAAATGGTTGAATGAGTTCTTTAATAACTGTCCATCATTAGTTTGACGAATCAATCACTATACAGAAACCAAGTCTCCAGAACACTGTACTCTGATTTTACGCACACACCTAACACGATGTTGCTTAAAAATGTAATAGTATATATGTTCCTTTTTAAATGTAAACAGTAAAGATATTAATCAAATATTCAGTGAGAATTTGGAAAAGGTTCCTAGATAGTGCATATGTTCATTTTGACCCAGCTCAGTTCATTAACCAAAAGGAAATAAAAGTCCAATACTCCACATTATGTCGAGATTCATATGCTTTGACAGAGGCTTGGTGAGATAAATCCGGGTTTATCCACTGATAATTAATATTTGTAAACTGCTAAATCAAAGACTCCTGACTTGTTTTACAAAATGCAAGTTAAAGTGTTATGTAGCTTAAATTGACTGATGGCGGCCACAATCACCTCTCCTTTGCATTATTTCTTTTAAAATATACACACAATGTAAATCCAGAACAGCATATATAAGCGAACAATATTCAGAGGATCTAATCGAAAACAATACTGTTCGCTAATGTATGTTGTTCTGAAATTATTTCTTTTGTATATTCGCATGAGTGTATGTGGAAATTTCACCCCTATGCACTCTATGCATTATAATTGCCACACTTACTTACTTAAGCCTGTTACTCCCAATGGAGCATCGGCCGCTGACCAGCATTCTCCAACCCACTCTGTCCTGGGCCTTCCTTTCTAATTCCATCTAATTCTTGTTCATTTTTCTCATGTCTATCTCCATTTCCCGGCGTAATGCGTTTTCTTGGTCTTCCTCTCCTCCTTCGGCCTTGAGGATTCCATGTGAGGGCTTTCCTTGTGACGCAGTTGGGTGCTTTCCTCAATCTGTGTCCTATCGACTTCCAACGCTTCCTGATTTCTTCCTCCGCTGGGATCTGGTTTGTTCTCTCCCACAGTACATTGTTGCTAATGGTGTCCGGCCAATGGATCTGAAGTATTTTGCGTAAACAACTAGTAATAAACACCTGTATCTTCTGAATGATGGCTTTCGTAGTTCTTCAGGTTTCTGCTCCGTCTAGTAGAACTGTCTTGACATTTGTATCGAAAATCCTGACCTTGGTGTTGGTTGACAGTTGCTTTGAATTCCAGATGTTCCTCAGCTTTAAATGTGCTGCTCTTGCTTTGCCGATCCGCGCCTTCACATCTGCATCAGATCCACCGTGTTCATCAATGATGCTACCCAGATATGTAAAGGTTTTTACATCTTCCAAATCTTCTTCGTCAATTGTGATTGGATTGGTGCACGCTGTGTTGTATCGAAGAATCTTGCTTTTCCCTTTGTGTATATTGAGACCTACTGCTGCTGAGGCTGCTGCTACATTTGTTGTTGCATTTGGGATAGAAGGGTCAGGTCATCTGTGAAGTCTGAATCGTCCAACTGCATCCTAGATGTCCATTATATCCCGTGTTTCTTTTCAGATGTTGACGCCTTCATGATACAGTCAATCACCAGGAGAAAGAGAAAGAGAAAGGGTGAGAGTAATCAACCTTGCCTGACACCGGTCTTTACCTCGAACGAGTCTGTCAATTGTTCTCCATGCACAATTTTACAGTTTAATCCACCATAGGAATTCTGTGTTGTTCTATCCACACTATCAAATGCTTTTTTGTAGTCAATGAAGTATAATAATTGCCATACTTACCCAAAATGTAAAGTTAATACCTGAAGTTCATTTGTACTATGTATAATGTAAACGTATTAGGACGGACACTAAATCATTTGTTTTCTGAAAAATAGTAATATCACCTCTATTTTATAATATTCTACATACTATATGTATTTATCGGGAACGTCAAGTAGTATCTTAGTATTCCCTAACTTCATATCTATATGCTAATTTATAGATCCGATGCTCCAAGAAATTGACTGCATACTGAGCTAAATAAACTCGTGGAAATCTAGCGTGTTTTCTTACTTTACACGCACATTTATGCAGAAGGAGCAACAAAATCAACTCCGAATATAAATCTTCTAGTAATAATGGCAGTCACAAGCTCTAAAAAAGGAGGGTGGATCATGAAGTCAGCATACAAACCTCGTAGAAAATAGTATTGATAAGAATACGCTACCCAGCATAAACAAATTAAACTATTCAAACTTTTCCCTAGCAGTTGAACGATTTTCATTAAGAAGAATTATGACGCCTCATGGTGAAAGCCGATATTCTTAGGAAGTTACGAGGTCCATGCTCCTTCCAGCAACCAGAGCAACAATTAATATAGGTACATGGAATGTTCGGACCATGTGCGACACCAGAATGAACAATCAAATAGCTACGGAAATCAAGAGATACAACTTGGTGGTTCTCTGGATCAGTGAAACGCATTGGACCCAAACTGAACAGAAAAGATTAACTTCGGGAGAGATGCTGCTGTACTCTGGTCACGAAGAAGAAAATGCTCCGCACAATCAGGGAGTTGCTCTGACGCTGTCCAAAGAAGCACGCAAAGCACTTGTAGGATGGGTGTCTCTCATGGACCCACGATCATCAAAGCACCCTTCAAAACAAACAAGTAAGGAATCACACAGAACGTTATGCACCCACCAATGAGAGCAACTACGACAATAAAATCAGTTCTATGAGAGGCTACAATCGATCATAGAGAAGTGATCAGGAAAAAACCTGACCATCCTGATGGGAGACTTGAACGGCAAATTCGGAATGGACAACACCGAATATGAAGATATCATGGGAGCACATGGACTGGGAGAGAGAGAGAGACGAG